ACATTTATTTGCTTGTTACAACATCAAGTTAATTGCTATAATGTTGTTTTCCTATTCCAATATTTTTCAGGTTCTGACTGTAATCTATATTTATTAATGTTTATACGCTAACCTACTTTCATAGCTGCCTTACATGTCAAATTTGTATGCTAACCTACCCCCCCCCCCATTAGGAGTACACACAATGCGCAATTGACTTATTAATAATTATTCAGGGGCGTTTCCTTTATATTCCTATTCCTGTGGCTACACTCTCCTTAAAGAGCTTGATTACTTGGCTTTTTGGTAAAATATATTTTGAGAAAAATACCTGATTATTTTCAATAAATATGGCTTTTAATTTTTTAAAAATTTAACAAATGTTTAGGACTATATTTGCTGGCGGAAATGTTAATTTTTGGATTCCTAATTTCTCATCTTTCAACAGGTTGGCCAAAATGAATTTAATATTTCTCCAGGAATCACTTTTAAGAAAAATTTTCCCGGCAAAAAAGTTTTTTTCTTCATGATAATTTTATGATACTGCAGAATTACCCTCAAAGTATGGAGACTGTAAAGACAACCAAAAACTATAAAAATATGACTATTGAAGCTTAAATTTTGGTTTCTGCATTAAATTGATAATTTTGATAGCACAGAAATAAACCAGTTTTAGTCTACAAGGAACCCTGAATGCAAACTTTAAAAAAAAAAATCGGTAAAATCGTCTCTGAAGTCTCATCCTTTGAGGGTTACCCTGTACTAAAACTAATATCTTTTTAAATAAATAATCATTCCTAAGATGTTACGTTACGTAAAAATGTAAACCGTTATTTTTACAGTTTTTGCCAACATTTTTTATCATAAATTGTCACTGAAGGTGGAAACTTTTAAACATAGTTAATTTCTTCAAAAAGCAGTTACTCTTGATAAAATAGACTAGATAGCTCATGTCGTCTTCATCATACCGGAGTGTTTCAGCTGAAATTAAAAATATTAATTTAGTTCTGACTTACAGAGCGTCCCATATCATACTAGATTATTTCCAAACTTTAACGCCAAAATGCGCACATAAAACTCGAAAAACCTGGTATTTTCTTCAAGAAAACTTTTATAAAAACCTTTTAAATTTTTCAAAATTGATTCATTGTTTTTAAATTTTCTAATTGGTCCCTAAAATCACAATTACACGATCTAATATGATGTGGGACACTCTGCAGCTACGTCTATACAGTATATTGATTATAAAGAGTTGTTTTGTTTTGTAGAGAGGACCAAAGACAGTACACTGCAGTACAAAAAATGCGTACACCTCTGAAATTACTTTCCTTGCATTAGTACCTTGGTTTGAAATATGTATCTTGGTCTAAATCATCGGGTTGCAAATGTATGGGAAATTTAATATCAGAGTTTTTTGCAAAAACTCAAATCTTAAGATTGTTTAACTATTTTTTTATTAATCAAATTATTTGAATATTTTCGTAATTGTATTTTTAGAAAGTAAAACCTCTGATCTGACAATGAGTCAAATGGTAAAACTATCGCTTTTCTCTGACCCCCCCCCCCCACCTGAATATGCCTCTGCATATAATGTACAGAAATTTTGCTTGTCCTCACTCCTCATCCTGTTTATAGTGCAAATAAATTTAAAAAAGGTGAAAAAAATTCCAATTGTGAATTAAATATTTAGGACAATCTTCTATCTTCTACAAGTTCAAAAATATCAGCTGTTCTGCTATAGCGGTGAGAATATAAAAAGAAAACTGAGAGAAGCTGAAAAATCTTTTGCTTTGCTCGTTTTACCTGTTTTTGCTAATTAAATGGATTGAGATCTTGTATACATTTCTACTTTATACAGTGTATGAAAGCCAGAAAACTATAGATCAAAATTTAAATAGTCCAATGAACATGAGACACATCTATCTTACAGTGTACAGACCCATTTGATTTTTTTACAATTAAGTCTTTGCCACACGCTCAAATTATCAAATCCCTATATCTTCACAACCTGCAGGTTATGTAAACCATTCATATTTCAAACTTAGATAATTTGAACTAAAAGAAATCATATACTGAAATATTATCCAAGGTTTACGACATTGGGTTGCAAAGATAAAAAACTTAAATATTTAAAAACTTTCTCTCTACATTTATACAGTAACCGTTAAACTTTTGTCTGATCAATTAAAAATCCTTCTTTTTGTTTTGAAGGATTTATATCTAGATAAAAAACATCTAAGTGTGTTTAACTTTAGAGATATGACGGTCAATAATTAAATATTTTAAAGGATTGAGTCTTTGCCGGATCACAAGCTCTGATTTTCTAATCTCTAGATCTTTGCAACACTATGTCGCAGAGCTCAGATATTTCAAACTATGAATTCGATTAGATCAAATAATAGAATTGTTTGAAATATCAAAGGTTTGCATAATCTGGTTGCAAAGATATAGGAATTAGACAATTTGAGTTTGTGGCAAAGTCGCAATTCCTTTTTAATCTTAATTTTTCAACATTAACATCAATTTTGTCAAAATTTCCAATGTTTAATAATAATGATCCTAAATATCAACTTCAGTTCAGGATCTATAGAATTTATCCGAAATCATTTTATTTCTTATATTTGATTTTCTCAATCAAATTTAGAAAGGAATTGAGTCTTTGCAACAAACCCTGATTTTCTAATCACAATATCTTTGGAACCAAATGTTGTAGACCTTAGATATTTCAAACTATGAATTCTGTTAAATCAAATAATCAGAGTTTGAAATATCAAAGGTTTACAACAACGAGTTCTAAAGATATTTGGGTTTATATATTTGATTTTGTTACAAAGACTCAATTCCTTTGGTCTTTCAAACTTGAAGGATTCTTTTGAAGAAAGTCTAATCAAGTTGAGTTTCTATTCTTTTAGCAGATTTAAAGTTTAAAACAACATTATTTTTCAGGAGGAAAATTATGACGAAAAAACTATCAAGGAAATATGGTGAAAAAATATAAAAGTTGTTAAACGTTAAACTTATTATTAAAACTTCTTCACTTTTAAGATTTTGATTGATATCCTTGATAAGAATATATAGAAAAAAAAAGACAAATAAGAAATATTTCTAGAGTAAATCTTCTGTTAAAGACGACATTTTTTACAACTGTTATTTATTTTTTTAAATATAATATTTGCCATAATCTATAAAAGTTAAAAATTTTATACTTTACTTTAACAAATATTTCTAGATTAAATTTTCTGTTAAAGACGACATTTTTTACAACTGTTATTTATGCTTTTAAATATAATATTTCTATTAAAGTTATACATTTTTATACTTTACTTTGAATGGTCATCTTGATGATAAAAAATGAAAATCCTTTTTATTTTTAAAACTTAATTTATCATATTTTCTGAAAGGAATTGTTTAAAATAAAATATTCAGCGAAGGATCGTGATCTGGAAAGAGAGCTGGATGATTGTGAGGTAGAAATAAGAAAAAGGAAAACGGATTCAAACTCTAATTTTCACATCCCTTTTCAACCTAATGTCTTTCATTTTGTCTAACATGTTGCATAAAAAAGGGATATGAAAATTTGAGTTTGAGGTTAGTGTTCAAGTACTTAGCTTTTATATCATCTTTTATTTAATATTCTAAAAAATTGAAAATTATTGATCGGGTTTGCAGCTTTATCTTGCGAAAATTTGTTCATTAATTTTAATAAGTTTACTCTAAATGTCAAATTTTTGTATTAATTTTTAAAATTTTCTATGAATTTTAGAATGGTGAAAAGGGCTAAATCAAATATTTGCAATAATAAGTTGGAGAGTTTTCATTTCGAAGAAAGTTCTAAAGTGTTTTAAGCTTTCTGAAAGTTTTGCTAACATTGTTGAATTTTCGGCTTACAAATGAAATAAATTATTTTTTCTCATTTATGATTGTTAATATCTTTAGTTTAATTTTCACAATAAAAATTTCTATCGCAATTTGAATGTCAAAAATTATTAATTTTCCCCTCATGTTTTCATTTTTGCTTCATTTTTGGAAACTTTTATGCTATTTTAGATTCATTTTGAATAAGACATTTATATTTTTAGCCTTATTTTGCCGATGCCATATATGTATATTAAACTTCAGTTTTAAGTCAACTTTATCATTTTTGATAAAGCTATAGAAATCATGCATCGATTCTCTAGACAGGGTCGAGTTTAAGTGTTGTAACCCCTTCACTTCGGTTTTTTTTAAACTTAAATTTTTTTTATTCAGCTTTATTTTGCTAAAAGGAGAGAGCTTAGAGGTGGAGTCACTGTTATAACAGATAGAGAACTCAAACATCCAATAGGGAAGATATTATAACATTTAATTTTTAATTCATGAGTTTAAACATTTGGAGCATTTTGTGTTTAATGTTTTGTACCGTATTGTGAATGTTTTTCTTACAATTGTATATGATACTTTATGTAAATATTTCTGCCGCATTTTCTGAGTTATGTACTTTTTGTATGTTTTCTTTCGATATGTAAATGTTCTTTTATGTTTAACCATTGTTCATGCAATGTACAATGCTCAATTTTCCATGTTCTTATATAAGTAGACACTTGTTTATTAAATTTTAGTTTACTATCCATTTCATTTTAATTCAATGTAAATATTTCAAATAAAACTTCTTGAAACTTCTCCTTTCCTTTACTACTGTGGAATAAGATGACAACATTAAAGCATAATATCTTACATGTACTGTATTGTATTTTAATGAAAATATCTTCCATTTACCGTACTGTACCGTACTGTAAGTATCTTCAATGTACTGTACTGTACAGCACTGTAAATATCTTCCATGTACTGTATTGTTCTGTATTGTAAATATCTTCCATATACTGTACTGGTCTGTATTGTAAATATCTTCCATGTACTGTTCTGCACTGTAAATATCTTCCATGTACTGTACTGTCCTGTAAATATCTTCCATGTACTGCACTGTACATATCTTCCATGTACTGTACTGTACTGTAAATATCTTTCATGTCCAGCATTTTCTATTGGCACTCACAGTGATGGAGTAATGTTTGAACGCTTGTTTTCAACTATCTACAGATCTCATAATGTTTATTGTATACATGTTGATCTTAAGGTTAGTTTTCCTGTGTTTAGATATTTAAATGTCGTCACGTGATCTTATCTTTTCCAAAAATGTAGGTACACGTTTACAAAAATATTTTATGAAACTATTGTGCTGTGTGCATTTTTATTTACAAACACAGCTGCTCAAACTTTAGTCCCGTAAATTCTCTTTTAAAGTTTTGATTTTATAATGAAATTATTTTTTTGTTCAAAACTTTGAAAATTACAAACATTGACATATAATTTATACTTGATCCGACAACGCTTTTCAGGGTTTCGTTGTCCATCAGTCCAACTCCAGTTATGAATTAAAGGAAGCAACAAAGTAATTTTATACCGAGCCTTTATCTAAACATTGTATAAACGATTAATGCAAGTTCCCCTGCTAAACAATGATTGCAATTGATCTTAGTGTTTATGATGGAATAAACGAAGTCTTTGTAATTCTTATGTGCTGTAGAAATCCGCAGGCTTAATGTTCAAAAATAGGGTGGCTTAAAATGTTTAATTTAAACATACATAAATAAATGCTGAAATAGCAGTAAAGAAAGTAGATACTTAGGTTTGTTGTTCTTTTTAAATGATGTTTTAAGGAAAATTTCTAAAACAGTCATTTTTTATTTGATAGCGTATAACAACCATTAAGTAAATAATTGATTACCCTGTAGTTAAATTTGTTGTTTAGGCAAAATGGAGATTCTATCGGTTAATAGAAAAGATGGCGGCCTGCTATAATTCTCATTTTAAAACAAACAATGTTTTTCTCGTGGAGGACAGGGTAAATATTTAATCTTTCAAAGAATTGTTATTGTAATTTTAAATATTTTAATACCTGATTCACAATTGCATCCTTGAAATCCTAATCTTATTATCTTATTTCGTTTTTTTTAGCCTAAAAAGTGTCTTATTCTTTTAATTTCTTCATTATTTTTGAAGCAAGAAATGCACAAGTCACTTTTGTAGAGAACCCAGAAAATAAAATAATCAGTTATAGAGGACGTGAGTCAGACTCTAATAAAACGCATAAATAACTTCCAGTATATATATTTCTTATAACTTATTACTAGAGGGTTCAGAACTAGAGTCAATATCGATATCGCACGTGTAGACTGTAGAGATGATATCAGTACTGATGCCCCGTATCCGTTCTATCTCATTCTGTTGAATCTTGTGGAACTAGTTTAACGCGGCCAGGCATCGTCTTCCACACAGTTTTCAAAAACAGAATGTGAATATACATGATTTATACTTGATCAGACATGACACTCTATTAAAGAATTATATGTTTGCAATCCGCGTAATTTCAAGTAATCCTCTCTGCAAAAGTTGTTTACGCCTTATATCTACTACTACTGCAAACTAGAAAAACGACAATATCTTCCACATTATTGATCAGATGAAGGTTAAAAGGGTCGGTACCGTTGTGAATCGGGCATTGTTATCTTTGCAAAAGTACGCATAATGTCCCTTTAATACGACGATCTTGAGTGTAAATTTTGTTTTCTGGTCTGAACTGAAAGGAAAATTTGTTTTTGGTCTGAACTATATGGTTAAATAATTTCTGGTCTGAACTAAAAGGAAAAAATTTGTTTTCTGGTCAGAACTAAATTGAAAAATTTGTTTTCTGGTCTGAACTGAAAAAAAAATTGGCAAAATCTATAAAATAATATTCACATCATAAAATCTTTTGCGATATTTCTATAGGAGTTGCTATGATATGAGTGTACTGTGTCCGAATTTAATGAATTTGAGCCGCGTCTCAAATTCGCCGTAAACCAGCTTCAATTGATCGCAGCTTAAATCTTGAAAAATTGAATACAATTTTAAGTGGAACCAACTATATTTGAGCCGCTTCTCAAATTTAAGCCGCGGCTCAAATTCATTAAATTTGGCCTCTGTATATCTAGGTATCTGTATACTGGGCACACTGGACTGTAGTTCAAGCAGATCTAAACTGTATGAGAGAACTTTTGGAGAGAAATTCTAGGAACACCAAACAAAACAAATCCAAACCAAGCAAAACAAATCCAAACCAAACCAAAGCAAACTAAACCCAACCAACCCATTATCTAAACTAAATCAAACCAACCCATTATTTAAACTAAACCTAACTAACCCATTGCCTAAACTAAACCAAACCAACCCATTCTCTAAACTAAACCAAACCAACCAATTATCTAAGCTAAACCAAACCAACCCATTTTTAAACTGAACCAAAAACAACCCATTTTTTAAAGTGAACCAAACCAACCCCTTTTATAAACTGAAGCAAACCAACCCATTTTTCAAACTAAACCAAACCATCATATTATCTAAACTAAACCAATCCAACCAACACATTTTTAAACTTAACCAAACTAACCCATTTTTTAATATTAACCAAACCAACCAATTATCTAAACTAATTGCAACCAACCCATTATCTAAACTGAACCAAACCAGCCCATCATCTAAACTAATTCAAACCAACCAATTTTTTTAGCTAAACTAAACTTGTTTTGAAGCTTAACCAAACCAAGCCAAACCAAACAATAACTGAACTAAACTAAGTCATATACACCATAACCAAGGTTTTCGGTCTCATCTCCTCCTTCTATATGTTCCTCTGGAGTTGGTTTGATTTAGTTGGACACCACAGGTTGGTTCAGCTGGAAAGTGGCTATTATGGTTTGGTTTGATTTAAATGAATTTATAGTTAGTTGGGCTTAGATGGTAATAATGGATTGATTTTGTTATGTTGGAAATAATGGTTTGGTTTGGTTTAGCTGGAAACAATGGTTTGGTTTGGTTTAGCGGGAAGCAATGGTTTTGTTTGGTTCAGCTGGAAACAATTGTTTAGCTTGGTTTAGCTGGAAAAGATGATTCCATCTGCCTTAGCAGTAAAAAATGGTTTGCTTCAGTTGGAAATAATGGATTGGTTTTGTTTACCTGAATCTGATACGGTTTGGTTTAGTTTAGATGAATCTAATGTTTGGTTTGGTTTAAATGGAAATAATTATTTGGTTTGGTTAAGTTGGAGTTTTTACATGAACCTGGCTGGAACTGAGTTTCCTCTTGTTAATAACAGGTTATATTGTGTAATTGTATGCTTGCGTTAAATCTATAAAAGATTGTGTTTTATTATATTGATCGAATTTGCTCAATGTTGTCATTTTCAGAGAAAATAAGAAATCAAAAGAGATATTGGTCAAACTATGTCAGTCAGAAATTAACTTTGGTATATAATGACTATTTAAAGTGACAAACAGCCCTGCCCAAAAAGTAACAAATCTTTTTCATTTTTTTTCTTCTTTTTCTCCGCTCTGAGAAGGAATTAAGAATTAATTTACTGATTGATAAATTACCGGGATGATTGATTAATAAATTTGATTATATCTTGACTGTTTGATTTATTGATTAGGGATATGGTGAAAGCGATGATTGAAAGTCCTTTTGAACTTGTTGGGTCTATTCCTACGGATCCTAAATTCTACTACAGGTAAAGTAATAAATAAGTGTCGTCTTTTTAAAAATAAAGCAATATATATTTACCATGGAACAACCATGATATTTACAAGCAATGTATATATATATATATATATTTAATTTGATATGATAAAAGCACATTTTCAGAAATAAATCTTGTGCAAATTACAAAATGTTAGCGACATGCTGTATTAAGCAAGCATTCGTTAAACTGTTCTCTGGAGACTGGTTACTACTGCAATAATAATAATAATGATAATAATAATAATATTAATAAAAAATAATTTAAAAAAATAATCACATTAATGATTCTGATAAAGTGGTAGGCGATTAAATCAATGCTCTGAAGGCGACTTTGATTTCAATTTTTATTTATATCAAGGTTTTAAAAGGCATGAATATACAACCAAATGAAAATGTAATTCAAAAAAGCTTTTTAACAATAAAAACTTGATAAAAAAGTAATCTTAAGTATATGTATAGTATTGCCTACCAACCTAATAATACAGTAGTCGACGTTACTATCAATACAATGAAGACGACTTTTCTTTTTAAGTTTAAATTTACAACAAGCCTTTTTCAAAATACGAGTTTACTAGCAAACAACGAGAAGCTGAACTGTCCGCTTCTCTTATTTCACACGTTTTGATGAAATCTGCATCCTGTTTAAAGTAGTGTTTCCACGAAATGACCACATAACCCATAACTGTACCCCTAATAACAAAATGGGGAGTTGTAAGCCCCATTGAGAGGAATCTTCCACAGCAGTCCAGTCCTCACAGCTGGTTGAGTAAAAACCGGTATTATTGTGGCTTGTATACCCATTTATAGGGATTAGACTTCTTCTTTCAGTTACACCAGACTGAAGATGAAGTCTTGTTTTTATTTTACGTACATTCCTTACTTCCCCCATAGGATACAAGATGCGAAACTAAACACAGCGCTCCACCAAGCCGTAAAGCTGGGACTGCTATAACAGAGAGTTTTGTTGATGTAGACTACTTCTATATGATTGAAATATCAAAGGTCTATGAATAAGATAAAGACAACATTGAAACTGAGTCATCTAAATATTATACAGCCTCCACTTGGCCTTTGGTTTTACCTCGCCAACTCACTCATACTTTTTTGTAGGCCTAGACATATACATTTAAAATTTACTTTGCGTCTGTTTCAATCTTAAGCTTAAAATGAGTAATTGGCAAAATACTGCTCGACTTATGTTTAAGAGATTGTGCACATCTTGATTTGCAGTTTGCCATCATGCATGCATCAGGTTGAAAAAATAGAGTTTTAGGCAAGCAATCGTTTCCTTTTTAACCCTATTCCCGCTGGGGGGGGGGTCAATTTGACCCCCCCCTGTAGTTTTTTTTACATAACTCAAAAAGTATTGGTCTGAGGCTGTTGAAATTTTCTGACTTTTCTTACATACCCAAAGCCCTCCCTTTAGGCCTAAAACCGGGCTTTAATACTAACTGCCTGAGTCCTCAGGCACACTGCCTGAATGACTGCTTTTGCCTGTAGCAAACTAAATCTTTGTTTTGACCCACTTTCACTTGTCAGATTTTGATAAAATTTAGCTTTTTGGAAAGCCTATGACATAAGGAAACGGATTGCACAAGTTTTGCGAAAAAAAATTGCAAATTTTTTGCAAACAACCTGTCAAAGGAAATTTGCACATTTTTAGTTTTTCTTGATTAAAAATCAGGTTATTTAAAATTTTGCAAAAATTTTTGCAAATTTGAAATGGCATGGTCAAGGGCTTTTCAAAAATGTATAATTTTTCATTTTTTGGACAAATTTTTTTTTGCAAACATTTTTACTATAAAACTGGATTTTGCGATAAAAAATTCAATTTTCGCAAATTTGCAAATTTTTTTGCAGATTCTAAAAGTAGAGCACAAGAGCTTTCTAATGATGTATCATTTGTCATATTTGGACATAAAACATGGGATTTAGAGGGGGGGGGTCAAATTGACCCCCCCCCCAGCGTATCCTGGTTTTCAAGTACCCCAGCGGGGATAGGGTTAAGGCATAACAATGTTATGCAAAAAAGTGCAATCTCATAGACAATAAATGACTAATTTATACAGTTTACACCTTTATTCAACCTTCAAAATTGCGCCAATTAGAATGACCCAAAAGCGGAAAAGAAATTTTGCGCGAAATGAAGTCTTCGAATGATTTCACAAAGTGCTATTTTTTGCGCAAAAATGTAGCGCAATGAAAGAAAAAAATGCACCTTCTTTCTTAAAAATTTCACAAAAGTTTTGCGAATGAAAACCCTAATTTAAAGCTTTGTAGAAATCAAAAATTGTAATCGAAAGTCATTTTCATTGTATTGATTTCTACGAGGATGACGACTCTAATAATAATATTAATAATTTTAGACATGAGTTTACTCAGTACCTTTCCCTTGAAAAGGAACTCATCTATAAAGTAAGTCATTTCTAAAACTTTCAGGATTCAATATTAACATTGGAAAAAATTGTTGTTAAGGAAAGTTTCAACATTTTTTATTTTATAAATTTAAATATAAATATACAGATATATACATCTTGATATAAGAAATAGAATTATCATCTATATTTACCAAACTTGGTTTGGGTTCGGTCTTTGACCTTTTATTTAATAAAATAAAGAGAAATCTGTATAGGACTATAGAAGACTGTAGACGAACACAAATGTCAAACTTACAGTTAAAGTCAAAACTTAATTCTAAAAGTCATCTTCCTATTTCAGAGTTTACGGTTTTTCACTGTGTGTTTTTTCTAGGGACCGATGTCTACAGGAATAAGAAAGCAGCCTTTGCCCTACGGATTAACTGTTTATAAGGTTAGGCACCTTGACGAAAACTTTTTTTAGAAATTAGAATTTTAGATTTATAGTATACGAATATGTGATAAAAAGAAAACAGAAAACGACGACATTTTGAAGCTCAAGCAAAACAGTTGATGATATATGAAAAAAATCTGTAAATTTTTTGTCAAATTGGAATATTTTTGATAAAAATGATCTCGTTCTGAATCTAAACCTATTGTTTTCAGGGAAGTAAAAATATGGCAGTTTCAAGAAGTTTTGTTGATTTTATAATAAACAGTGAACTATCTAAACAACTAAAGGTGGGTAAAAAGTAAAGTTTAGTACGGTGGTAGGCGATTATAGTAATATAATATAGACGACTGTATTATTTAAGTTTCATTGATAAAAAGCTTTTTTCGAATTACAAGTTTACAAACTAAAAATAACCTCTCTTCACTGTTTCCTTGCTGTTTAAAGTTTGATTTAAAGAAAAATTAGAATCAAAAGTCGCCTTCATTATATTGATGTAATCGCCACCGTATAATAACTTGTATAAATCTGAATGATCATTTACACCAGTAATAAACAATCACTTCACAGCAGTGGTGTCTTAGGAAATTTTTTCCGGGGGGATAATTGAAAATTAGCAAAACTTAGAATGGCCAAAGGTATTTGGCCATTTTTACTAAACTGGCAGGCGGCCCTTTTCATTTTGATTCATGAAAAACAATAATAAATTATTTTTCACTGCATATTTTAAAATTATTAAAAATTCGAATTAATTAAGCCTAAAGTATTTCCCCCCTCCCTAGTTGCGCCCTCATTTTTTCCATTTAAATAAAAACGACTATAATTTTAATTCTGCCATTGCATGGCTTTATTTAAACAATCCGATTATAAAAGATACCTTTTAAACCTTCGCAAAAATAATGAATCATATGAAAATTAATCATTTTATTTGTGGATTTAATAAGGAGCAAAAAGGAAGAAATTTGACAAAATTCATATTTATTCAAGAGAAACGTATTTATATATTGCTTTTTGCTACTTTGTATAAATCGAGAATGTAAATATGGAATTCATTTGAAATCAAGTTAGCAGTCCCTTTAATAATTAGATTTGGTTCCTGGATACCTGGGCCCCTGATGAACACTATATTCCAACCCTTGTTAGAACTTCAGTAGATTTCCACAATCATGTCCTACAGGTTTAAACTGTATCATGTCCTGCAGGTTTAAACTGTATCATATCCTGCAGGTTTAAACTGTATCATGTCCTGCAGGTTTAAACTGTATCATATCATGTCCTGCAGGTTTAAACTGTATCATGTCCTGCAGGTTTAAACTGTATCATGTCCTGCAGGTTTAAACTGTATCATGTCCTACAGGTTCAGGTTTAAACTGTATCATGTCCTGCAGGTTTAAACTGTATCATGTCCTGCAGGTTTAAACTGTATCATGTCCTGCAGGTTTAAACTGTCTACACTCTTGAAATTTAGTTTTTTTTTGAAAATTTGACCTTTTTCTCTTTATATAAAAAACCCACAAAGAATGAGACTTCCGAGACGAATGTACAGGGTGTCCCAATAAACATGGGAATTCACTGACGAATGTACAGGGTGTCCCAATAAACATGGGAATTCAATGACGAATTCGATATCGTCTTTTTAAATAATTCTTTGGTTTAGTATAGTGATACCTACCGAGAAAGCTGTAATCTGTAGGAGTTTCGTCTGCTATGTTCACATTTTGTTTGTTTATGTTTTGACTGCATATGCAGTTGTACTTAGTAAAACAAGAAAATTACAGTATACAAACAGAGTAAAATTGTCAGTCTTCACTTTTCATCTTGCAGAGACATTACAGACAAATCTTTACACATCTTTTACCCTTTTCAAAAAATAAACTCTAGCAGACATAATAACATTATGGCTTTTGAAATTAGGTATTACAATGCTAATTCATAACAAAGACGATATCGAATTCGTCACTGAATTCCCATGTTTTTTGGGACAACCTGTACATAATTTTTTTATCTTACCCTACGTTTATCAATTCATGTTGTTGTAAACCCGTTTATTTCCTTGCAAAATCATTTGATTAAAGACTTTATTTAATGCCCGAACTCTACAACTCATCCTTCAGAACATCACATTCAATAATACCATGTCGTCATTAAGTTTCATGCTTTATGGGTAACAAGGCATTTATTTATTTTTGCTTGATAATTTCGCAAAAAATTTAATTGTAATCTTAAAACCTGATCTTGATCTTGTTTATAATCTTGAATCATGACTATATGATCTTAAATTTTAACTGAATTATGATCATGATCTTAATCATAATTTTAATCATGATCATAACGATTATTGAATCATAATCATGATCTTAATTATGATCTTAATAATGATCTTAATAATGATCTAAATCATAATCTTTATCATGATCTTAATCATAATTTTAATCATGATCTTAATGTGTTTAGGATCATGATTTGTCTAAGTTTCGAGCTAAGGAAGGTGTAATAGCTCCTGAGCTTGTGATTAGATATACCATATTCGAGGAAGCTGCACCTGATGGGTATGTTATTAGTCTATCTATCGGAGGCCCCAGGCTATCTCATCGGAGACCCCCAGATTTTCATCGGAGACCCCAAGCTTTTCAACGGAGACCCAAGATTTTCGGTGTAAACCTCAAGCTTTTTATCGGAGACCGCAAATTTATATAAGAAACCCCAAGATTTTCATTGTAAAAACCAGGTTTTCATCGGCAGCAACAAACTATTCATCGGAGACCCAACGCTTTTTTATCAGACACACCCTTTTCATCGGATTATATCCAAAATTTTCATTGGAAACCACCAAGCTCTTTTATCGGAGACACCAATCTTTTCATCGGAGAGCCAAGCTTTCGTCATAAACCCCCAATTTCATTTGAGTCCCCAAGCTTTACATCGAAGGCCTCATAATTAGGAGTCTTTGACGAAAAAGGGTGTTTTCAATGAAAATCTTGGGGTCTCAAATAATAAACTTGGGGTCTCCGATGAAAAGCTTGAAGTCGCCGGTGAAAAAATGTGGTCTCCGATGAAAAGTTCGGGGTATTAAATTATGGGGGGTCACCGATAATGATGATTTCTTCCCAATAGATAAAGTTTTGTTTAAAATGAAAAGACTTCGGGGGAAGATTTAATGAATAGCGAGAAACAGTTGAACCACGTAGATTGAGTTGAATCACTTCTCTGTTGCTTAAATAACAAGGGTTTTAAATCGAAATATTTTGGCTTCGGGATCTAGATTTAATGAATAACGAGACACATTCAAACAACGCAGTACTGAGTTGAATAAGTTCTCTTTAGCTTTAATCACCGCGCTATGGAGAAGTGGATGAACCACGCGGTTCAAGTTCAGCTACAGGGTGTCCCACGAAACATGACAGTTGATAAATAGTTTTGAATGTCGTCTTCCATACACTGTATTAGATATTAAAGTCTGTTTGCAGTTTATTTCGTTTAAAAAATCTTTTGCTCTAGTATATTTTACTTTGAAATTAATGTTACTATAATATGACTCCTAAATAATATTTTTATTATTGTCTTTCGTATTAAAAAACTTATCAAATTATTGAAGAAGACATTCTAAACTATTTATACCAACTGTCATGTTTCGTGGGACACCCTGTATATCTCGCTATTCACTAAATATGGTCTCGAAAAGTAAAGGTGTTCCCCCGATATTCTCCACAAATAAAACTTAAAGACGACCTAAAACTGATTGATTTTATTAAGTTGAAGATAGTCATCTAAATATAAACATGGTTACCCACAAAGAATGAGATTGTAAAGACGACCTGAAATTCTCTGGACATTCAATTCCGAGGTTAATTTAAGTCTTCTGCTTTAAACATGACCTTTCTGTGGCTTATTTAATGATTATCATAAATAGAAACAAGTTTACAGTTGCAGGGAATCATGGAAACAGACAGGATAAATTCTGTAAAATCGTCTTAGAAGTCTAATCCTTTGTGGGTATACCATGGTACTACAGTGATATAGGTGATTAACAATACAACTACTAATAATGTAAAAGATTGGTGGATGTATAACCCNCCCCCCAGCCTGTAGTTTCCATAAATACTCATCTCAGGTGGATTTGTGGGGGACGGTGGCAGCGCTGGTTGTGTGTTTTTGGATTTTTAAATATCCCTGAACTATACGCAAACCATCAGAATCATATGATTGCAAACAAATTTGATATTTCTATGGATCCCATTGCTATACAGGTATACTAAATCAGCTTCAGTGATACTAATCACCAGAAAACTCTGAACAAGGAAGGACAACTTTCAGATTCAAGTTAAAACACATCAATTGTGAAGTGTAAACAGACTAAATTAGTCTAGTGCCAAGTAAAACAATTACACTTAAAACAAATACACTTAAATATTGCAACAATGTCGTCCTCCTCTCTGTTAGCATTTTTAAAATTTAATTTTCGATGACAGATGATTATTTTCCTCGTATAAGCATAACATTTAAAAAACTGTTCCTTTACAATTCAGATCAAAGACATTAATTTATATTATTTTAGTGTTTGGAAGAAAAGCTAGTGAACGCGACAAAAAAGTTAACAATAAGAAATCAAAGAAGCAAAGATAAAAACTTATAAAACTTATTAACACTATCGATGAAAATTTTAGTCTGTTCGATTTTGATTCACACAAACTTCGTTAAAAAGCTTAAACTTATTTTCCAGAAATATAGTATTTCTTGCATCTATATAAATACTTTGCTTGTTCGTCATTCTGTTTGTTTTTAGCCAATAAACGTCAAAGCGACTACGTACCCAAATTTTGTGTGGGACCTCACATGACCACAGGAACAGTTTATGGATAATCAAAATTTCATTAACTAGTCTCCAACAAATTCGATTTTTATTAAATTTTGAAAATCCACAAATTTTTTAAGAATCCGCAAACTTTTTTTTCAATGTAAACAAAGAGAAATCTTCACAATCGCAATCTGCATTCTCTTGCTTTATTTTTATATTTTTCAATTTTAAAAAAAGAACATGCTAAAACAAATTTATTGTTATGTAAAACAGTGCTAATCCTGTTTTTAACTCACCCTGTACAAACACTTCCTTCTTTATAGATATAACTAAGTGTATTTAATTATCTCCCGACTCCAACCTATATAAAATTATTCTGTTATCTGTATATTTTTATTAAATGTAAACCCGACTAAATAATACAATAATATAAATATCTTTATTAAGCTCGGCTTACTGTTGTACATCAAAACAACGGTTTCAGAACAACATCGGTTTCAAAGTTAAAGGGATTGTAATCTTATTTGTAAGCAACTTCTTATCAAGGAAATTTTTTGTTAATATATATATATTTTTTTCATGGCATTCTTGTTTTTAAGACATGATGGTTAAGAAACGAATTGCCTTTTAATCTTAGTGCCATAATCGATTCACAACATTAACATTATGCGACATTAAAACAAAGGACAAATACATTTTCAGGTTTGGACAGTCGTCTCAATAAGAGTTTATCGAAACAAAATATATGGGGGCCTCATAAATTATATTTCTGAGCAAAAAAACTTAAATTTGTTTTGAAAAAAACTAGTAAATATCTCATAACCATGTTGAGAAAATTCGTCAAGAAAAGGACAACACTATAATAAAATCTGTGTACGACAAAAAATCGAATTATAAGAGAAAAAAAAGACTTAAAATTATTCCTACAATCCCTTTAAACTAAAATTTAGAATCACCAGATTAGAAACATTCCTAGTTTTCTCAAATGAGTTTATTATGACACAATAAAATTAAAACCAACCCTTGAATGACCCGAACGCTACTAAAGCGGGATATTAACTTTACTGTCCCTTAGAAAACCAAATATAAAACAAGTTTTAGCATTTAAATTCAAAGAACTATAAATTTGTAACCTTTTACTTTTTTGGGCAATAAGTTGTAAAAAGCTTTGAACAACTAACTTAAAATAAAAAATAAATCTTCCCTCCTCACAATTTGAATTACAGGCCGACGTTTAAGCATTGTGTCAAGATAAACAAATTAAGAAAAAAAGCATAGTTAAAACATGTTTGAATATTTATATAATTATTCCAATCATATTGGTCCCAATATCTGAATGAATATGTACTAAAAAATTTATGGCAATATCTTGTGAAAAATTTGTCAGTTAAAACTATAAAAGTACAATTGGCCAGTGTGAGTTTCAAATTCATTACATATAAAATGTCAGTTCTGCTAATGTTGAGGGGAACGGAGGGGTGCATTCTGTAAAACTTGTACTTTTCAAATAATAAAATTATCATTTTATTATATTTTTTAGGGTCTACGAGATTATTGAAAATCTACTGTACCCAACAGTCGAAATATGCCTGGATATAAATGGTTAATAATTCTGGACACAAAACGGCCATGTTAATTGAGCTCCGAGTATAATTTGTATAAATTTCATGAAAATGTTCAGACTGGATAGATCATGTAAAGTTGACTAACCTTAGACCTATATACAATTAAATATCAACCAAAGTATCTAGATCTACGGGTAGATTGTCTACTTTAAGGAAAGAGAATGGGTATATCTGGTCCCACTCTAGTCTAGTTCCAGGTCGAAAGCTGGTCAGCCTGCGTGGAGCGCGGAATCCACTCTTGACCCTCCAGTAAACTGGATTTATTGTCCTGGCCTAGGAAATTTGTTTCCATTCGCGCACTTTCAAGATTTTTTTGGGCGTCAATCACAGAAGATGCCTCAGAGAGTAGGGGATCACGTTGGATCTGGGGGTTTGAATCATCGTAAAGTTCCAGCACAGCTTTCACCTCCTTGGGAAATGTAGACGATGCAAACTCAAAATCCATTGTGTCCAACGGTTTCTGCGCTATAGAAGCAGAATCAATGACTATAGTTTGGTCATTGTAACTCTCCTGAAAGTTCATGGACTCTGGACTTGGTTTATTTTGAAACTGGAAGCTAGATGTTGGAGCTGAATTTATCTCCGTGAAATTCGATAATGTTTCCATTTGCTGGGATGGTGTCTCTCGAGTCTTATTGGTTGGATAGGATTGGGAAGAATCCATGAGCAAGACGGCCTCTCCGGGATTACCAGGAAAAGTAGCATGTTCTGCTGTTGGTCTGCTTACTTCTCCACCAGACTGAGGAAACAGACCAGCTCCTTGACTTTGAAAGGTCTCAGAGGGTCTAGATTCATCCATTGAACTCTGAGTAAATTGGTGAGATCCAGCCTGGAAGTTAAACTCTGGAGGATTAGAGATAGCCGAGTATGAAGAAGATGGAAACTGTACTGAGGATTGTGGAGTAGGATAGGGAGAGGCTTGTGATGATTGAGCTGAAGAGAAGTGCTCCGACTGCTGAGGGGAGTAAGCTGGAGGTTGTAATACTGAGAACAGCTGTTGTCTATGAGAGAGAGTAAACCTGGTAGTTGAAGAAGACGTCTGAAACTCTTGACCCCGTTTAGGAGCTGCAAACCGTTGGACTGAGCTATCACTACCTCCAAACATGTGTTTTGAGGATATGAACTGTCCAACCGGGGATTGCAAATGCTGGCTAGACATCTGAGAACTAGTTAACTGGTCTGAGTTGGCAAATTTTTCTGAGTTCTCAGGTGGCCTGTTATTAAGGTTACCAAGGTCAGGTAAGATTGTTGCAATCATTTTCTGATCAGTACAAATTTCTTTTTCAGGTTCTGATGGCAAAATCAAATTTTCTGGAAAACTTGAACTTTGAGGTGGGTCTGACGACTGAGAGGAACTAGGGTTGGATACAGGCATCCCTAAAACACTTTCCACCTGCGACATGTTTGTGTTGGAACTTATTTCAAAGAAATTTTTGTTCTCTGCAGTAGTTGGATTTGTCCAGCCCATTCCAGTACTCTTCATCTTTTCTTGGTTCCAATCCATGGTGTCACTGATTGCAGATGCTTCAGCTTCAGCTCTCTTCTCTTCAATTACAGTTTGAAGGGCATCATTAAATTCATTATTCCACTTCTGTTCTCTTATATTCTCAGCCAATAAGTTTGAAGCCTGTTCCACAGCTGAGTAGTTTACTTGCTCCTGTTCATTGGAGAAGTTTCGCTTTCTGTTCAAGGATAGCACAGATACAGGAACAGAGGATAAAGATCCGTTGGGTGAAAAGTTTTGATTTTGAGTCTCTCTCAGCCCAATTTCGGAGATATTTCTTGATTCCACTGTTTCATTAGAGGGCGGAGAGCCACCATTAAGCAGGGTATTGTTGATTGTGTCCATCACATTTTGAAAATGTTTCTTGTTTTCGAGAATACTTCTTGGCAAGCTGATAGAAATGGTAGCTTTATCCTCGTCCGTTCCTTCACTGAGAGCTACGTTTTCTTGAACCTTCAGTGGTGCACACTCCTGAGGCTTTTCATCCAGTGGGGATGGGACTAACAAAGGGTCAACACTCCAGGAATTCCTCGAAAATGTATTGATTCCACTTTTTCCTTGGGAGGGTTGAATTTTGAAACCACTGAAGCTCACTGATGTTCCACTTGCATTTGCTACAGGAGTGCTGAAGGAAAATACATTTGAAAAATCACTGGTTAAACTACTAGAATGATCGCCATGACTATTACGGGATGTTTCGTCAATGATCAATCCTTCAGATTTCAAGGAATCATCATCTTCAATAGAGAATGATCTTTTAGTAATTAAAGGTTTAGGGAAGCGAGGTCTGGAGAGAAGGAGAACGGATGTAGGTTGAGGTTGACCCTTCTCTAGGCTGGAAGCCGAGTTTGAGGAATTCCAAGGTAACATAGGTGCCTAGATTCAGGGGTCTTACAAATTAATAAACTCATCCCACTCATTCGTCCAACAGCTTTTTTCAGTTAAGTTCATTAAGTTTAATTAATTCCTGTCTTTGATTTAAGCATTGTTGCCAAAACATACTGAAAAAAGTGCTATATAACATGTCTAGAGGTTTGTACAGGGTGTTCTAACAAACATGGGCATTGAGGGACAAATTCGATATCGTATTTTTAAACACTTCTTTCATTTAGTTTAGGGGGATACATACTGAGAAGCTATAATTCCTTGGATTTTCAATGATTACAATTTGTTAGTTTATGTTTTGACTGCATCATACAGTTGTTCTTAGTACACATGAAAACAAACATAATAAACAAATCCGTCTTCATTTTTTATCTTGCAAAGAGATTAAAGGCACATCATCGCAGCCTTTAACCGTTTTCATAAAATAAACTCTAGCAGACATAATTAAATTATTGATTTTGAAGTCAGGTAATACAATGGTAATTCTATGCAAAGACGATTTCGAATTTGTCAATCAATTTCCATGTTTATTGGAACACCCTTAGGTTTTTCCTTAAACATATTTTAAAATATAAACATTATTGCACAATGGATATACTGCTTTATGAAAAGGATATAACAATTTTTTAGAAAAGGGAAATATCGTAAACACGGGGTACAGTTAAGATAAGTTAAAAGTTTATGAAATATATTTAAGACCCCTGCCTGAGAGAAGTTTGTATACATAGCAGTATTGTTAGCTAAGGGCATGTGTGACTCAAACAATGTGTCTTCATTCACTAAATGAGGTCTGGAGATAGATTTTGAACGCGGAACCGACCTAGCACGGCGCAATGCTGATCTTCCACTATAATCAAGCCTGGACTTCTTATTGTTATGATCATAAATAGGTTCAAGGATAGTTGGCCTGGTTACTGATTCTGCCTGATCATTTAGCCTCAGCATATTTATAGAACCTGACTTTGCAAACTGTTCATTGATCGCAACAGCAGGAGCAGATACACCTTTAAGCAGATTTAACTCTTTCCCTTTCACTTCAGTCTTGGGTAGAGGTGTATAGGTGAAGGACATAGAATCAGATAACTTATCTCCACACTTAATAAACAAACTCACTTCAGCAGCTGTGTCAGCTTCTTGATTGACAAAAGGAGGAATCTTTGTAATAAGATGAGATTGTTGAAGAAATTCAGGTTCAGGATCACAGGTATTTGTCCATAATGGTTCCTTTTTACCCGCTACGGAGTAGGAGAAGATCACCTTGGTGTCTTTCAAAAAGTTCTTTCCAATCATCCACAGTTCTCCTCCTCCTGATACTGGAGACGTCAATGTACTTAACCGTAGGATTTCTGGGGTTCCTGGAAGCTGGGTGCAATTGATAACATCAGAGGCAACTTGCAGCACCTCCGTTTCTCCTAGCTGGTTGACTATGGTAGTGCGAAACACAAGCCGACATTTCGTGGATTTTTTCTTTGTCGTTTTCCAAGTTTTGTGCTTCGGGAACCTTGCTTCGACATCAGCAAATCTTTCTTTAAGTATTCCAACACAGTCGCAGACAAGAACCATATCGACACCTGGATCTAAATGCAGGTCTATAACATCAGTTCCTTCAATTTTCTTTTCTGTGCAGGGAAAGGAGTTCTTTCCTGTAACCCGACAGGCCTGATAAAACATGTGAGGAACCACTTTCCCTGTGTCATTACCAATATATATTTCTATAGTTACAGGTGAAGTATATCCTTCCAGCCTAACTGCAGGATGACCCAACCCCTCTCTGTCTTTAATCGCTCCCCGACTACCCTCTGTAAGGTATCGAGCTCGATGTTGAACCTCAGGTTGGACAATAATCGCAAGACGGACACTGCCATCTCTGCTAATATTTCCAAACTGCTGGTACAGAATTCCGCCACTAGATTCAGCCTCATTTTTGATCAATCCAATCTTTTTCCGTTTTCCTGAAAAAAAGACTTGTTTAAACAATCGTAAATCAAAAAGGTGTAAAATTTAGACATTATTTTCAAAATTAGTAACATATTTACAATTAGACATTCATAGGTAGCGGTAGCCAAGATAAAATATGAGTGTTTAACAAAACAATTGAATAATAATTTTTTTTATCAGAAACTAAGTTGTAAAAATTAAAAACTAAAATCTAAAAATCTATTGTGGTTACATTCTACTTCAGAGAATGAGCAAGTAACATTTATTCCCCTTTATTTTATTTCTTACTTTAAAATAATAAACTCACAAAATTCTTTCACAGCCAATAATCATTAAATTTGTTGTTTAAAACTTTGCTTCAATGCTGACAAAATTGAACCTGAATCTGGTCTGAAAGGGCCAAGCCCTGATAATCCATTCTCGTTCTTCTCCAGTCCGCTAGACGGTGTTGAGGGCTGTGTTCTAGAAACTTCCAGTGCTCCAGTGCTGGTTATTCTGGATGCACCCATTGACCTGATCCCAATCTCTCCAACAGTTCTCACTAAAGGTCGTCCATGCCGATTTGAACCATGCTCCGACTCATACTAAACAAACAGACATTAACACTTTTCTTATCCTAGCAGGGGCTGTATAAGCGACCCCACATGCTCGATTAAGTGGGGTAACTTTTAAACCTTAGTCCCAGCTAAAAATTATGAAAACATTCGTTTCTATAGAAGTATCTTGCGGATTTAGGAATTTGTCAGAACTCATCACTTTTCAAGAAAGAAATATGACGATATCTGACTCCCTCATTGTTGCCTAGATAAGGGTTTAAACATGCCACTGTGTGGGAGTCACTTACCATTATATTGAAAGTTCCTTTTCAGAAGAAGTACATGAATAATTGAGCAAATAACAAATATCATAATAATCTTTTAAAAACTTGGCATTATCGTGAAGGGGAACGAGTGAGGGAGCGGAACCCCAGGACGCCATGAGCCTTCGCCATGCAGACACGAGCCTCCCAGATTTGCTAGGTAGACCGAGTCTCCCCCTTGCAGTAAGAGCTTCCGCTATGCAGTAAAGGAGACTCCGCTAAAAAGCACAGCTTCCTTATGACTCTTTGTTTTAACATGTAATAAAGAATTATTTTTCATTTTTTCAACATAGCGGCACAAGAATTTTATTCAAGATTAATGTTGTTTATTGATTGTCATGATTTGTAACTTATATTGACTCATAAACTGATTTATAATATTTATGTTTTACAATAAAACATTTCTTACGCAGTAATATTAAGATTATTTGTTAATGTCAAATTTTTGATTACCTTAATCTGATAGAAGCTAAAAAAAAGGTGTCGCTTAAATCAAAGATTATAAATATCAAATAAAGTTACTTTCGGAATTTTTTCTCTCAATGTTTTACTTTTTGCGTAAAAAATGTTTTGAGTTTTTTAAACCATTTTAATAGTCATAATTAGTCACTTTTTATAATAATTGATTAATACTTCTGATCTTTGATAAGCTTTTTATGCCAGTATTTCGAAAAAAATACAAAAATTCCATAATACATGTAAAAACCAAGAGTTTTAAGGAAACTATTTTGTGTAGGGGAGGCTCGTTTACAGTATAGTGGAGGCTTTTACTGTGTGGCGGAGACATGGTCTGCCTAGCAAATATGGAAGGCTCGTACCTGCATAGCGGAGGCTCATGGCGTCTGGGGGTTCCCTCCCTCGCCGAGTAGGGGTGCTTAGGAGATTTTTTCTCTTTAATAAAAATAACTAGTTCAAACCAGAATAAAGAATCAAACCTTTCCCAAAAATTTCCCAAGAAAAAATATATCAAACTTAACTTGGAAAATGGATATCTTTTAACCTTAGGAAGTGAATAGAGAAATATACCGAATGACAAATTAGTATTTTGCATTAAGTCATGTGTACGCACACAGGATTGTATGTTGAAATAAATGGTTAACAACTGCATGGTAAATTACAAAGGTGTTTTACTTTCAGCTGTAAAGCTTGATTTTTAGGTTAGAGACAGAAAACTTTACTTGAATTTTGATAAGAAAAAATTCGATTTTTGAAGAAACAATTTCAATTTTTGAAAAAAAAATCCGACTTTTTTAGCCTTTGTTTATCCCAGGGTATCCATGGGTTTCCTTAAAAATTTCAGATAATTTGATCCAGGCATTTGGCCACCTATAGCTATGACAATTATATTTATGTTTATGAGCCAAGAGCCAAGAGCTAGCTTTATTATATAGATTATGCACAATAAAAAACATCTTCAAAAGTTCATGTGCACTGTACAGAGCTGTCAATTCTTAATCATGGATTCATTCAGTAATGTTGTATTATTCAACTATTGTGTATTTACCCCTGAAAACCCCTGATTTAAAAATGCTAAATTATTTTTATTTTTTTGACAAATCCTTTTAACTAGTCATGCTGATGAGTATTCAAGTTTTCTATTAGAATACTCGTCTTCATTAATTAGTGACAATTGCAAGATTGATTAAAGGATAATAGTTTTAACAATAAATTTAAAATTAAAGGGACTGTCCGCGTTATTATGGCAAGTACTGTAAAATATAACTTCAACCCATTTTTTAAAATCTTGAGATATAGACAAATCATTACCTTCTACAATTTATTTTACTGTTTACTGATTTTTCAGGAATAAAATCATTTTAGGTGTGAAACTTAAAAAAAAAAACTAAAACTGCAGCTTGAAGATAACTCTAAATTTTTTTCTCTCGATTTCTTAAAAATCATTTACAATTTTTGTGTGCTGAAATATTGTTTATTTATCTATATCTATACATATCTTGGCCCAAAATTTTTTGAGGACGCATTCCAACTTGGGCGGTTTAAGGCATAACAGAATTTTATAAAAATCATTTAAATAATGTATGTATTTATAAATTTTGACTATTAAATTCAATAAAATCTGTAGGTTAACAGTGTTAAGTAAAAATATTTGCAGATATACTAGGAAATAAAAATTAGAATTACTTCTTGGAAATTTATTTAAAATTAAAAAAATAATGTCAGTTAAATGCAATAATATTTATTATTCATATTTATAATAGTACTTTTTTGGTGACAACTGTACAAAACTAACCTTCGGAGTGGATAGATCTTGCTCCATAGAAACAAATAGAAGTGTTCAGCAATCCTTAACAATCCACCGTTAGTATTTTTTTTAACAAAATACAGTTAAGTATCTAAAAAGTAGCAGCTTTCTAGATTGAATCAATACTCAAGGATGAAATAATTAATTATCTTCTCAGATATGATTTATTAAATTAATCGCAACATGGGTTTCTTCCAAACAAATAGTGCACGACAAATCTCCTGGTTTTTCTTGAAATAATGACTAAAGCTATTGATGAAGGAATCCCCGTGAATATAATCTACTTAGATTTTAGTAAGGCGTTTAACAAGGTACCACATAAGAGACTTATTGAAAGTTAAATCCTTAAGAATAACTGGCAACATTTTAAGATGGGTTGAGTCTTGGCTCACCAACAGGAAGCAACGAACAGTGTTGAATGGTGCCTTTTCTGGCTAGGTAGATGTAGAAAGTGGGGTTCCCCAGGGTTCTGTACTAGGGCCCCTCCTCTTTGTTAAATTCATTAATAATATTGACAGTTGCGCTTACAAGATAGATATTTTACTAAAATTCGCTGACGACACAAAGTTACGACATAAAACTAGAAATATTGAAGATTGTCTTAAAACACAAGAATGCCTTGAGTAATGGATTGATTGGACCAACACATGGAATATGAGCTTTAATACCTCGAAATGTAAAGTACTGCGTGCTGGTAGAAACAATTTAAATCATGTTTATACTAGGAATGGAATTCCATTAGAAGTTACCACTGTGGAACGTGACATTGGTGTACAAATTTCATCCAATCTAAAGCCATTTACCCAATGCACTGAAGCTGCTAGAAGGGCGGGGGCAATACTGACCAAAATATCTAAAGCTTTTCTCTACAGGGTTTGCGGTGCCAGCTTTGTCACCGCTGAACTAGGTTTGAGATCACTAGAAGATCGTAGAAAACGCATTGATCTGGTTCAAACATTTCAAAATTGTCCAAGGAATTGACAAAATCAATTCGTCCCTACTGTTTATTCCCTGTAGACAAACATGACCTGAGACTGACTAGAAATACGGCCTACAGTAAAACATGGTTGAACAAAGATCCAGGACCGACATAAAGAATCATTAATCTGTAACAGAACAGTCTCACTATGCCACTATTTTCCTGAAAGACTCTCTAAATTTAAATATATACAAAGCTGCACTGGAAAAACTATTAAACCACTGTCACAGGTGAGGGAGGGAAGACAATCTCCTCCGCACAGCTTCCGAAAATCATTTTACCTATTTGCGGCAGTGCGCGTCCCCAGAGGGCTTCTTAACCTCCCCCAAACAGTCTTCCGAGAGTAATTTTCCATTTATAATCGTTGATTTCTACTAAGGGGACTAATTCGAATGATTATTGAAGCACGTTTGTCCATTTATAGTATCCTTAACATTTGCATAATATTTTTTTTTACAATTAAAGATCAGGGAGAAACTAGCTTTTATTTAAAGATTTTTTTTTCTCAACAAATCTTGGAAAAGCTGGGGCGTTTGTTAGGAATAGCTTTTACTAATAAGTAGAAAAACAAAAAATGTAGTTCATAAAATGTAGATTCTGAAAAGCATTGCATTTTCTTTCTAGTTATTGAGATATTTTAAGAAAACAAAACGAAATGATTTTAAAACTATTGGGGCCTTTATTTTCACAAGTGCTTCAGATTTGAAATACTTAAGATCGAAAGATAATTACATTTGCATTAATTTGAGCGTTGCTCAAAAATTGCCTTTTATTGTTGTTTAATGCATTATTTTGCAGGAAAACTAAATTAATATAAAAACTCCAGTTTTTCGTGTGCACACAGGTGGAAGTTGCAAGTTGCAAGTGCGCCAGTCAGAAACCCCGACCAATCAGAGACGCAAATTATACAAATGGGAGGGAGTGTGAACTGAAACGGGAAATGAACAAAATCTTCAAAGTTTTGGTTTTTCCAGTCCAAACTTTGATTGTAAAAAATAAATAAAAAGTAGAAATTGACGATTGTAAATGGAAGATCATTCCCGGAAGACTGTTTGGAGGAGGTTCGGAAATAATGGGGACGAGCTAATAGGTAAAATGAGGTTCGGAAGCTGTGCGGGGGAGGTTACCTTCCCTCCCTCGTCAGGTTCAGTGTTCGAGAACGAACCGAGATGTATCCCTGTATGAACTAACACTGTTCCGAGGGGACTCCAAAAGAAACCTGTCCCATGGAACCAAAGAGTCTCATGTGGTCTGCAACTAAAGTAAACAAGTAAAACCCCCCCCCCCTCTACCCATTTACCCCTTCTGCTCGGGAGAAATACGGGTTCAGAGCTTATCAAAAACAAAAAAGAGGAAAGCTGATTTCCCGCGTTCAATTTTCTGTCTTGTTTCATTTACACAATGTTGTGATGAAAACTTAGTTCATGTGCAATATTGAAAAATTTGTAGAAAATTAATTGTTGTTGAAGAAAATCTCATAATAATGATGATATTAGAATCTCAGCAAACAAAATTAACAATGCCAAACCATACCATCAATGAGTTATTAAAATAACAGCAGAGGAGTTACGATCAGTCGGCGTAGAACAGGATCTCTCTATCTTGTAACTCTACGCCGACTGTGTGTAACTTCTTTAGGCTTCTGCCTAAGGTTTTTGTGAACGAAAAACCCCCTAAATCTGAAAAAGACGACATCTAGTATCCTACATGTTGCATACCACAGTGGTATTAGACATAGAGGGGGCATTGCAAGAAAAAAGCAGATAGCCACTAAACTCTGTACAAACCATCCAGGGGATTATATTACTTAGAATTAAAAATTGAATCATTAAGAACCATCTGATGTTGAATATAGGCAAAGATATCCTAAGTGGGGCAATGCCCTCAAGGCCTTTCAGTTTTAATAAGCCAGTGCCCGAATCTAATGAATCAAAAATCCCAAAAACCCGTTTCAATTGAGCGCCGGTTTAAATCTTGAAACATTGAATACAATTTTAAGTGGAACAAATCATATTTGAGCCGCGGCTCAAATTCTTTAAATTCGGCCTCTGATGAATTAACTTGAAGAAACTGTCACTGATTCTTTTTCATCTTAAATATGAAGAGAAATATTAATTTAATATTAATTATATTTTGTTTTCTCGGGAAGAACGAGTTTTGTTGCATCAATAAAAAGTTGTCTATCATCGACCTTAAAGGGACTGTAAAGGAAAAATGAAAGGGGGTATGGTCTGAAACCTGAGAATATCATAGTACTCTTTAAACCTTCATCTGAATTAAAATGAACAAGTAACTTTTAAGGAGATACCACAATTTAAAATCAACTTTAAATAAACTGAAATCTTTTAGAACCAAAAAAATGTTCAATAGCATGCAGATTGTGATTAACATCTAACTTTTGCTTTTCAAAATAAAATGATCACTTTTTATTGACAAAGTGTTACTTACAAAACTAATCTGCTTTAAAAACTGCTTCTTTTTGATAAAGCTGTATTTGTTTAGAAATACATTCATCAGTTAAATAATTTTTTCTATAAAAAATATTCATATTCTGTAATTAACAGCTTGTGATTAATATTTTTTTATAATCAACTCTGAATAAACCTAAGATTAGTGAAGTTGTAAAGATAAATAATTACATTAACATCCGAACTTCGAGGTTTTGTCTGTGATAACATTATTAACGATACAAAACTTACAACCTCTGGGTTTTTAATCGAACTCAGGAGTAATTTTTCTCAAAATCATTTCCCTACCCGGCCCCCTCATTTTTTAGTTGGGGCAAACATAGTTTGTTCGCTGAATTTGAGAAAATGATATATTTTAGTGTGTAAAGGGGGGGGGGGGTAATAACAACAACAAAAACAATTTTTAATTAATTCTTGAAAATATATCCCTAGACAAACTTCTCCGACCCCCTAAGGCCTTTACGTCGAAGTGCAGTACAGACAGAGGATTTTAAAGGATGTAAAGGAAGGTGTTTATATCAAATAATCTTCAAAGAAATATTAGTTTACCAACCAAATCTAACTTTATCCACCATATAATGTTTCGTAAACGCTCTGTTTAAAGGGACTGTAAACGTAATTTACCCTTCAAGACAAATATGACAATGCCTGATTCACAACGGTACCCTTTAAAAGCTATGCCTGATCAAGTTTGTTTTATTTATCAATGTTTACAATTTCGAAAACTGATTAATTTCAATTTTGACATCTACTAATACAAGAAAACATATGGGAAATATCAGAATTTTAAACTTTAAACACAGAAAAACGACAATATCTTCAACATAATTGATCAGATAAAGGTTTCAGGTGTATCGTTGTGACTTGGGCATTGCAATCTTTGAATGGAGGTTCACTTGAAATTACACTAACTTTCCCTTTAAGCACAATTAGAAAATTAATAAAGTTTTTACCTTGTCCATTAATGTTTATATTTCTAAATGGATTTCATCAGTGGACTCTGTCTAGATTATCTAAAATAATAAATCTTTATATAAAAGCCGTCATTCTAATGTAAATAATATTTAATCATTCCTTTTTACAGAGATTTTGAGAAGAACAAGAAATAATTTCTTATACGCGATCATAGAAATGTATTTTCATTTTTCTGTGTAATCAAAATTAGAGGAGCAACTAGGTCATGGGAATCATTTCTTAATAGTTGATCGTCTCCTAATGTCTAGTCTATAGATAGTTATGAAAATTGATTTGTTTTCTGTTCGTTTTTATCCAATGTACGTCAAAACAGCAAAATTGATCGGGCCCATGATATTTTTGGGCCTTCAAAAAATACATTTGAAAACAGTCAGCATTTACAATTTTTTTTTCAGAAAAGATTCTATCTAAAATTTTTGTAAAAATTCAACTAAGAAAAGAGAAAAATATGCGACGGTGTTATGTTTACAATGTACAATTGGAAATGTTTAAACATAAATGAACCTATCAGAAGCTCGAAGAGGGGCCAAGAAATATATGTTTAAAAGAGCAAATATAACATTGAATTGTAGAAAAGTTTCTTTGCGCCTTATCTCCTGATTTCTCTTTGAAGTGCTTTAATATAAAATTATCAAATAATTAACCCCTCTGACTTGCAACAAAAACAATCTTACACGTACTTTGATATTTATAAACAATGAGAGGGATAACAGATTTATTAGAAAATATGTGCTAATCGTATAATTTTGTCAAGTAACCGTTTTAAAATTCATGTAAATCCCCCCCCCCCCCCCTGAAATAAAGTAACGGGACTTAATAAGAATTCATATTTATTTATTTATTTGTTTAATACAATTCATCTATGCTTATGGAGTTTAATTTTCGTTTCATTTCTATTTATCTAGATTTATCTATTTAATAAAACAAGACATTCGTACATATATATGTTGCCTATAGCCGGCCAAACAGCTGGACCGAATGGGCTGAAACTTTTCGTGGACACTCATGGGTGGCCGGAGGGTGTTATAGGTTAAACAAATCGAAATATTTTTTTTCCACATTTTTTTATTTTCAAAATTTTTTTTTCCACGGGCAACTCCGGGCCCTTCAGCTAGTTATCTATATAATTAAACAAGACATTCGTATATTTGTTCCCTATAGCCGGCCAAACGGCTGGACCGAATGGGCTGAAATTTTTTGTGGACACTCATGACTAGCATGGGTGACACAAATTAAAATTTTTTTATATTCCACAGGGAACGCCGGGCACTTCAGCTAGTAAAAAATATATAAATAATAAAAAAAGCTGAACTTACTACTCTTTATTTGTAAAAATATAATATTTAGAAGAAAATGTCTTCAAGAAATACTATACAACGAATATGGGGGATTGGGGGGGGATTACAAAATTACAATTTCTTTACAACATTTTAATACTTCTCCAAAGAATTAATCAATTTTCCTCCAACAAGTTTAAATTTCAGCGAAAGGAGTCTTTGTCGTAGACTCTGATTTGCTAATTTCAATATCTTTACAACCCAGAGTCCTAGATATTTCAAACTATGAACTCTATTAAAACAAATAATCTAAATTTAAAATACCAATTCTTTTACCGTCAGGTTGGAAAGATATAGGGATTAGAAAATTTGAGTTTGTGGCAAAGATTCGGTTCCTTTGTTATAAAAAATACCATGCAAAAAATGCTTGCTAATAAACATACCTTAATGACAGTAAAACATCCCTGTAGAATCCATAAGAAATGAAAATATCAAACAAAAAATAAATGGTTTCATAAAGAAAACATGATTGATTTAGAAAACCTCTGTCTCTCTCATTCCATTTTGTTGATAACAGAAATAATGATAATAAATAATGAATTTTGTTATTTTCATTTGTGTCCAATCGATCCTAACATTTTTATTGATTCATCAACCAATCAAGTTATAATTGGATTTACGTAATATCATTAATAATAATAATCTCTTACTCTTAGATTTTTCAGTATTCCAATTTGACCTGATCTATATAGAATTAGTATTTAATAATTGAATAATAATATTTAATAATTAAATAATCATATTTAGTAACAAAACAATTATAATTATATTCAATAATTAAAACATTAAATTTAATAATTTAATACGATCTGAAACCCTCTCATTGGAGAGTTCAAACTACATTGAACTTTGTCCATTCAACCGGTCTTACGACCGTCATGTACGGAGGCATTAAAAAATCCTTTAAAAGGTAGAAAAAAAAAGAGGGGGCATTAGGCGCCTCCTAATCAAGTTATTCAATAGTTTTTGAAAATTCATCTTTGTATGTATGTAACAAATCTAGATGCTAATACTCTAACGATTAGTTTACTCAAAGTCTAATGAGATCATATTTAACTAAATCTCTAGCCAAATCTTAAGGCTCTCTATCTCTAGCCAACACTCAAGGCTCTGTATACGT